GCGGACATCACGATTGTCTTCTTTCATCTAAGTTTCCGCAAAACTGCCTGTCTTTCTTCACTATCTTATCTGATTTCAAAAAGCTGCCACTGTTGGTTTATTTTCCCATTTTCTAAAAAAAATATTGCGATTTCTTTGTGTTTAAATTGGACTGTTCCCATTCAAATAATAACACATGAGTGTAACACTTTCATTACATTCCGATTTTAGTTCCATCGATCGATTTTCGCGTCTATTTAAAATTTTATTTGTTATTTTAATGCTGAGAATAGACGTTAAACACTTTCCCTGTTACATTAGTATTACTACTGCTGTGCTCCAATTTATCAGATACAGTTGTGAAGATATTTATAAATCTATTATAAATATTTTCAATTTCGGGGCTTCCTAGCTTCCAAAGAACATATGCTGCTTTACAGTCTTAGGCAACTTTAGGAACGTCAAAAGTTACGGAACTGGGTTCAGGAGCATGTCTTACATGGTTTTCTCAGTATGTTTTCTTTCTATTTGACCCGAGTTTTTTTTTTTCAGTATTATTTACTTCCACGCCAGTTAGCGGGGAGGCATTGTAATCGCGAAAAGTTTCGAAAATGCACATCACGAAAAACAATGTGGCTCATTTACGTCGGTTTGTCTGTCTGTCCGCTCATCCTTGGTCCCTCTGCAGCTCGGAAAGTATCCCTCATGTTTTTCTGGAAGGATCAAACCACACATGTTTAAAATTGAAGTATCGCTCGGAAGACATATAAACAAAACATATTGTTGGATGTGTAAATTGTACATGAGAAAGGTCAACGTTGCGACGAAAACGTCGTACAATAAAGAGAAATTTCAAATATGTCATTTGATTCGGCCAGACAACATAAAAGTCACAGGATGTTTCGGTTTAGAAAGTGTCTCTCGGGTTTTGATGACATTTTTGATAAAAATTTATTACTATGTAAAAGACGAAAAACTTTGTAGGTTTTGAAAATCGGTGAAAATACTGGTCATTTTTGGAATAAACAAAATTAAAGATAGGCGATTGCGGTGGGGGTATATCTCCTCTTTTTGATGTTAGTATATTAATATACTTTTAACCCCGATCAATCTAAGCAGCTACTATAGTTCGGTACCAGGACAGAAGAGAGGAACATAATACATTGTACGTTGGGGGGATCCGCGCGCACCAATTTTGCCAACACAAAGGAACGCCGCGGTAGCAATGACATACGATAGTTATGCTTCTCTCCTCCATTTTGGTACCCGAGGATACTTTTTTTTAGAACTGCCGACATGATGTTTTGTGAACTGTTCACAGTAACTACCTCACTCTAAGTTTTCCCGAAGGCAATATTCAAATATCTGAAAACCCGAAAAATTATCTCTTTATAGACGTATAAAATGGCCAAGGTCATGATAATAACTTAAAAAATAATGAAATAAAATTAATATATAAAATCTGTATATAATTTAAGATATTCAGAAACTCATAATGTAATACGTTCAGATATACCTATTGGTTGCATCAGAAAGTAAATATCCTACAAAAGTTAAAAGATATCGCAAGGGAAGTTCATTGTTTATAATCCAGCGATTTTGATCAGGATAGCATTTTCGTGCACTTTATGTAGTACTTATAGTTAGCAGTTTTATACGATCTCGTATTACTGGTATCTAGTTTCGTCCTTGCCAATCATTCAACACAGGTTTGTATTGAAAATAATATTTAAATTCATGGATTTTTTGATGTTAGAAAACATAGGCATTCTCAGAATTATGTCAAGTGCGTTGAACCTAGAGTACTCAGAGTTTTTAAATAGTGAGTGTTTTCTATAAAAATGGTTAAGACTGTATTGAAGTGAAACTAGAAATGGTGGAAATCGTGGGTTCAATCAAGCATTAATTTTTATATAATTATCTACAAAAGGAATAGCTACTTCATGACTCGTATGGTCCTGAAAATTTTATGATTCTTGAAACGTATGGAAATAGAAACTCGTAGACTATAGTATCATTTTAACCTTCCTGTTTTATACTTACTGTACATAATAAATTTTCATGCAAGCTTCATAGGATTATCCCACGTTGATGTATCGTCTTTGTCTGTTTTAAATATATTTAAAACTTGAAAGCTTCTCAGTGTGTCGCAGTTTTTGACTTCAAATGCAAATTTTCGCGTATCCAATGTGACTACTCCTTTCATCACTTGCGATTATTTCTATCAAAACCCACCGACTACATATTTCAACATCTTTAGTATATGCTCAAGGTTGCAGATCTTCTATTATTTATGGTGATTTTTATTTGATACAACGTATATCGCGCGTCATTGTTATATGGATATTATTTCATTGCCAGGAAAATATAAAAAGTTCTCCTGTCGTCGAGACTATTACAGTTTGCAAATCTAGATTTCCTAGATGAAATAAAATTCACAGTGACGATTTCGTGTTATCTTGAATGTATGCAGTGAGAACTTTTATAAAATTTTGCCAACTGCATAAAGTTGGTTAGTTGGTTTTTAATCGCAGGTTAATTTTGAAGATAGGTGACTACTTGAGAGTTAACTATCAGTTGCTCATAAATTCGGCCGTCAAATTCTGACTAACTTCCCATACCTGCTTTTATGTACTTTTTGTACATTTCCTGATGCTCGGTGTTTGTGATTGATCTCATCAGTGACAACTTGCATCACTGTCAAGCATAGTATGTTACACATTATAACTTTCTAGTTAACCTATAGACATCGTTGGTCCACCGGTCAAAGTTAACTATCGGTTCACTTCACATTGACAAAAGTTTTTGGAGAATTATCTTTCAGTTGCCACTTTCAGCAGTTACATTAACCTGCGATTGAAAACCAGGTCTTAGGGCATTTCTTAGACCTCACACATTTGATTTTCCATGCCTACTGTAATCGCGAACATTTTAGAAACTGAGATATTAATTTTTATGGATGTCACACTACACGATCACGAAATACTATCACTGGCTATAATTTGAGAAGTTGGGTGAATGTTTTACACAATGTTACTATTATGGACGAAAAAACTTTGCACTATATGAAAATCGATCAACTAGCCAAAAACAAAAAAAAAATAAAACTCTCACAAACTTCATTTGTTTGACGTTTCAAATAATCATGATCGTTTCTGAAAAAAAGTTTAGAGGTAAAAAAAATGGGAGTAGGGGTTGTGGGGGGTGGGGAGGGTAAATCTTAGTTTTTTGATGTTTGTGTATTATACGCTCCCAACCACGGTAATTCTACGCACCTACTAGACATATTTTACACATCGTGCCTGGTAAGCGTTCTGGTATCACTGTCGCGCCGTAGCATAGTGTTTCCTATGCTGTGTCCGCGGTGCCACGTCAAACCTGGTTAAGTGTCGGGGAGAGGCGGAGTTGCCAGATGGACTACTGGTAGGGCAGGGAAAGTATCTCTGGACTAATTGTAAGGACTGACTGACAACTTGGTGCTGAACACAATCCTTTATGAACCAACAATTCCGCTGCGTGTGAAGTGCAGAGTCAACCTACTTGACGCCATTTTTTTATTACAGAATCGTGAATAATTGAGCTATCAAATTTCGCATTTCCTTTGAATAAACATTAACATAATATATGTTCAGTGACTATAAAATATATAATAAAGGTAAATAATATAACTAGAAAGTTCTTGGAGGATTTATGAGAAAGTTGCGCTTAGTATATCACAACTTTCCGTTCCAGGAGCAACGACCATCGAATCTATTTTGAGGAACGATGTCCACAATTTCAAACTGCTCCCGACTGGAGTGGCATTTATAGACTGAGTGTCGCCAATATTAGAGTAGCAACGTTCCAACTTCCAACTGAAATAAACCTCAATTATGAACATTACATTCTTTTATATGATGACAAAAGCTACATGCACCCTGGTCACGAGTTAGTTCACATGATGAATGTCTGCCAAAAAGAGCAACTATTCTACGGCATTTGATTCATGACCATTTTTTGGCATAGATCAAGGTCATGGACCTAAAGCATTCATCTTTGTTTTCCTATGATTTCTGTTATAGTCCGGTAGGCACTTACCACTGAAAGAAGGAAATTTCTATGACGAAATTACGAACCACCTGGGGATTTTTTAGCAATATCAAGAGAAATTGTCCTTCAACTGACGTTTTATTTGTAATAACAACTAGCTAAAATCGAAGCCAACTGTGCCCTCCAGCTTGGGGATTAACTTCTGTAGTCCCTACTAAATACAATGCTCTTAATAAAAACTAATGATTTGTTTTAATTACTGTAAAACACACGTTTTAAAATTCACCTGGTTTTAAGCTATGCTTTTTTCTCATCAAGCCAACAGACGTGGAAGTATTCTGGTCGTAAGAAGATTTCACTCTGGTTTTGATGAAAGTTTGGCATACTATTACTACTAAGTATGGCGCAAAGGCGGAAAAGCTTAGCAGCTTTCGAAAATCTGTTCACTGACGGTAGAACTAGGGACAGATAGGGAAAACTGCAGAACTTAATATTTTTCGATATTTTTGGAGTTTTCGACCGACTTTGGGCGTGGTACAAAAGTTTTTCTGGTATGCCGAGATTTCTAAAACATTCATAATTTCCGTTTTGTTTGCGTTTTTGAGCTTTTTAGTCTTCCTTGGAATCTAGGACGTTTTAGAACGCTCAAAAATCTTGAATCCAGGTATATCAAATATTTCATTTATCACTGATGACGATTCTATTAGTCGTATAGCTGCGATCTTGAACAGATTATTTATAAGAAGAACTGAGTCTATTTACTTGACACCATTGCCCAAGTATACTACTCTACTCTCACTGGTTATGGTGTGTGGGAACTTGAGTTATTAGAAGCTTTTAAAGACAATTTTTCACAATATATGACTGCCTCCTAATAAAAACAATAGATACGCTCTTGATGCTCATGCGCTAGATTTGCTCTACGCCATCCCCCACTTCTGATGTGCTACTTGTCTTATTTTGTTCCCGACGGACGCTACGTCACTGGGTCGCGTCTCGATGCCAACAACTCTCGTCGACTCCCAATCTTCCAGTTACAATCTTGGCACCCTCGGGAGTAGTAAAATCGGGATCGTTTTCTATTATTACAACTTGGGCAGGCATATCGCATCTGCCTCAAATGCATGCGAGTAGAGTCGCGGTACTGCAAGAGAGACAGGCCGAACGACAGACAGACAGGCGTTGGTGATCGTGAGATGCAGCATTAGATGATTGAGGTCGTCCTCCCAGACTGCTAGACGCCGGCTTTGTCTCCCGATGTAAAGATTCGAGCTTGTTGTAATCGCGTTTTGAGAGGCGTGTGCGCGAAGTGAACGCGACAAAATGGACGTTTTGAACTATAGGAGTAATTTGCTAGGGGGAAGGAGGTATTCCAAGATGATTGTTTTCTTCCTTGACGAGGACATGGACAAGGTTTGTTCGTGTGTCTTGCATTGAGCAATTATCCAAGCTTTTTCCTTCTGAATGACATGTGCTTGATTAACATTAAATTGGTAAGACGTTTTGTTTAGGTTAGAAGCATCATTAAATTGACCGTTGACTATTTGGGTGCATATTTATAAACGAATTAGAAGTGCTAGCTTCAACATACAACAGACCCAGAATCTGGTACTTCTGTCCTTCACTAGGAATGAAATGTTTTATATTTTGATATTACATAAGTCCAAACAATATAGCTTCTAATACGTTACTGCGTTACCACCAAAATATCGTTTGGTTATTTTCTGAGCCTCAATAGATTTCATTTCTCAACATATTTATTGATCAAAATTACATTTTGATATACAACCAACATGTGAAGTATAAGTCATTACCGTAAAATGTACCATTTTTATTATTTAAGTTATCGATTTCCTGAAAATCATTTGTAATTATTGAAATTTACCTCAAAGTTGTGAAAAAATGTACGTTTGATACAAATACAATCTTCTCAACCTAATGTCATGTTTGGACTTCCAGATCCATAGTCCTAATTTTGTGGAATCAGGTCAGTTCAATCGATCAAAGTTGAGTAGTTGAATGGAGCTATTGACAAATATTTTATAGGCAGTTAAGAATCCACACAGTTGCTCGGCTCACATTACCGAAGATTAGGGCTTATCATGAGGCTCTGCAACAGATTTGACATCCAAAATAAGCCGTTTCTCATAAAATATAAATCTCCAAGATTTCAATGAATATTTTGCAAATAATAGCTTTTAAGGACTATTAAGAGCAATTGTTTGATAAGATGTCAGAAACTGATTGGTCAACGAGATTTTTCAGTTGTCAGTTCTTATGAATGGTGGTTGTGCAAAGTACATACACAAAAGTTTAAAATATGCATAAAAAATGGAAAAAACACACAGGGTGAGTTTTTACTCTAGGCTCGGTCGGTAATTCTGTTATTACGCATACTATCTAAAGTTAATCACAAAAATTATAGCCAACAGAATTCTCCTTATTTGAAAATATTTTTAATTCTACACAGTGAATCTTAGCCACTGCATGACGGAAACATACATTTTTTAAACGGAAAGCCCTCGATTTTATTGCAGATTTGGATAGGCACTTGCAGAGGAAGCAATTTTCAAATTATCCTTATATTGGACAGTATACCGAAAAAAAAAACACTTTTGACCGATTGCACCTTCACAACTGTTCCTATCTACTCACTTTTTTTGTTTTCCTTGATAGTTTATACAGGGTAATCAAAAAACGCAAAATGAACTTTTCACAAAATTTTCAAATGGAACACCTTATATATTTTCACATTATTTTATTCATTGTTCCACAAGCTTTCTTCTGAAATAAGGCTTATGAGGGTTTGTTCGACTGATTTTTGAGTTACAGCTAACTTCTTCGTAAATCGGATATCAAGATAAATGGAAAATATTGCATCATTATACAAAATGAAAAAGAGTAATTAATTAGCGACAGTCGGTTACAAAGCAGATCTACCCATCTTCTTACAATAAACCCGAAAGTTTATTATTTTAATGCACTCATGTGCCCCGTGTTTTCAAGTAATCCTTTTTCAGGAGTATAACTGCAAATTCAACATTCTCCGATTTTTGGCTACAAAAAATAGAAAAACAATTTTCTAGGTCATATTGTTGGCTAATTTTACTTTTTCTGATAATATGTATTCTAATGGAGTTATGGACAGATCGTGCACTATAAAAGCAAGGAAACCTCTTGACGTTTTTGCTTTATTGCATAGGGTTGAGTATATTTAATTTATGATGGAAATACACCAATTCTAACGGTGCGCGGGTTATCAACTACGTGCAATTTTTTATACTGAAATGTGCTATAATGCTTTTCATTTACATACATTTTCATTGTGATATCTAATTTACAAAACATCGCTTTAATACAAAAACCAGTCGTAAAAATCCCCATAACCTCTATATCAAACAAAATTTTATGAAAAGGGGAATCAAAGAATGTGATAATATATCTATATTTGAAAATTTTGAGAAATCTTCCATTTTACATTCTTGATCACCCTGTATAAACCACCCAAATTTTCAAATACATACAAATTACCAACAGTAACAAAAAGGTATATTAGCAATATCATTATCATTTTGTTACCTATATCAAGTTGAAAAGGATAGAAACGATAATGACTACATGAGGTAGTATTTCGAATCTGATTTACAATCGAACGGTTTATTTATTCAAAATGTGCAGCTTGCCACGGCATTTCAGCACCCTACGAAAGATGCAGAAAAAATAACTATACCGTCTGGTTTTTAGTAAACAAAAAACACACACTTTTCTCTCTCGTTTTCAGCAGGTGTAGGCGCATCACCAATTATACATCTCTTAGTGGTGTCGTCGAAACATCTTATTTATGATTATTGTAGGATTTAGGATTATTACAACACTTTTTTAAGACGTGTCGTCCACAATTTATTTGACGTGCGCCGTTTTCCAGTTGACGCGACTAAACCCGACCGACCGGTCTAAAATGAGCATTTCCGAGAAATTTTCATCTCAGTTGGAATCGTACAACGAGGTTACAAGGAAAACTGTGTTGAGAAAAGAGATGTTAGTATTTCAGTCTGGACTGAAAATAAAATTCATGTTACCAGCGACGTTTACATACACTTTCAGCATGCATCACTAGCGAGAATAACTGACTGCGTGATATCAAACTTGAAGGCTTTCTGATTTTCTATTTACTTCATTGATTCTTTTTCTATTTATTTTATTCAATTTCCAATTTAATTTAAACATATTCTCGCATATACAGCGCTTTTCAGAATGGCCTTCAATGCTAATTTTTTAGACTCGTCAAGTAAGCGATCTGATGAATGATGAAATTTAGGCATGAATACTATATCTTAACTTGAAAGTAACATTCGAAAAATTTCATGATGGCGGCTGGGCGCTATAACATTTTTTATAAATAGAATGAGGGGTCTCTTGAGAACCTTATTTCTCTAGAATGTGAAATCACTGTCTTTCAAAATGACTGACAGGTGTTATTGTACATTGAGTCGCTCAACTGAACAGCTAATCATCGAAACCCAATAGTATGTTTATAAATCTTCCTTTGGAAGGGTCTGACTAAACGTGTAATAAAATATGGATTACGTTTTATTAAAAAAAAAATGGCGTCAAGTAGGTTGACACTGCACTTTCCAGGCAACGCCTTCGTCAGTTAATAAAGGATTATGTTCAGTACATACTAGCTTTCTGAGAAAAAAGTCAGTCAAACAGGTCCTTACAATTAGTCGATAGACATTCTTTCCCTGCTTTACCGGTAGTGCATCTGGAAACATCGTCTCTCCCCGATACCCGGTCAGAGGATAGGAAACACTATGCTACATATAAATCCGAACACCCAGTTTAAATGGTTTTATTTTAATAAAAGTTGGTGAATGTATTTAGCTTACTGTAAATAACAAGTGAAAAAATGTTCAGCCTTATCAGTTGGACATTCCGGTTTTTATACTGTTTTTTTTTAATTCACTAACGCTCTAAAAATGAATATTTCAGCCGCAGTAAAGAATCAACGTTGGCGGATTTTGGTTCTTGACATCCTTTACGATCGGTTACGATGCCTAGAGTACGGAGACCTGTACGATTTCGTCAACTTAGTGAGTTTGATAGGGGCCGTATAGTGGGACTTCGGGAAGCTGGGCTTTCTTTTCGGTCAATTGCAGTTAGAGTGCAAAGAAGTGTAGACACTGTGGTTAGATGTTGTCAGGCATGGCTTCGGAAGGCCGTACGCAAAGAGCAAGGGGCACTGGACGCCGTGAAGATCGCCGCCTAAGATTATTGGCCTTAAGGGACCGTTTCTCCACTACCAGGTCCATTGCAAATGAATGGTTTGCAGAACACGGAAGACCTATTGGCATGCGAAGTGTTTACCGACGAATGAGAAGTTTTGGCTTGTTTTCATACCGGCCACACTGGGTCCTCCCTTTAACTCGAGAACACCGACGTAATCGCCTTGAGTGGTGCAACGGTCACTCTGGGATCAGGAATGGAACAGTATTGTCTTTAGTGACGAGTCTCGATTTTGTTTAGGCATGCACGATGGTCGTGCCAGGGTTAGAAGGCGACGTGGTGAAAGGAGGAATCCACAGTTTTTTGTTGAAAGACATGTTCATCACACTGTTGGAGTTATGGTTTGGGGTGCTAGAGCTTATGGTTCCAGGTCACCTTTAATCTTCATCAGAGGTAACATGAACGCGCAGCGTTATATCCACGAAGTTCTAGAACCCCATCTTTAAAAAAAAAAAAAAAAAAAAAAAAAAAAAAAAAAAAAAAAAAAATGTTATGCAACGTTGAAGTGTTTTTATGTCAATCGCTCTATTTTGAATTTTAAAGTTAGAAAAAAGTTATGTGAGGCTATTATATTTCCAAGCTTATTTTACTGTAGCACTGTGTTCTATCATTGTCTTGATTCTATCACAAAAGCAAGACTCCAAAAACTCCAAAATACTTGTTGTCGATTTGTATTTAATCTCAAGAAGTATCATCATGTTTCCTTAAAGAGATTTCAGCTTGGTTGGATGTGTATAGAAAATGCTTGCAAGTACCATCTAGCAGTGTTTACACATAAGATCATATCTTCTAGATCCCCCTTGTATCTTTATGAGAAATTTGTTTTCAGACGAAATAATTCAGACATTGATTTCAGACACAAAAAAAGACTAGAGATCCCTATGTATAAAACAACTTTATTTCGTAGTTCATACACTTACAATGCTATCCTGATTTATAACGAATTAGATGACAATATAAAGGATTGGCCAGTAAACAGATTTCGTAAGCATGTGAAACAGATTTATTTGTCATTATAGTAATTTTGGAAAAGTTAGTTTTTAATTCTTACATTTAATTTTAGTTTACGTAATATATGTGTGTATATATGTATGCTAGGAAGCTATCAAGCTCGTTGTTTTGAAGCGTCTTTTGCTTATCAAAGTTTCTTTTGATTGAGTGTTTCAATTGAGTATTTGGGTAGGTTAAGTAGAGTAGCCAAGAGCTAGACTTCGCCTACGTAGAGGTCACATTATGTGGTAGTGTATATAATGTGCCTAATAAAGACATTTTATTATTATTATTATTATTATTATTATTTTACCCTATCTTGACACCCTGGCAGATCCAACTTTCCAACAAGATAATGCCCGACCACATGTTGCAAGAGTCACAATAGACTTCTTTCAACATAATGATGTCACATTGTTACCATGGCCACCAAGATCTCCCGACTTATCCCCAATTGAGCACGTGTGGGATATGATGGGTAGGAGATTGCTCAATATGCAACGTCCTCCTCAGACTCTAGAAGCACTTCGAGAGGAGTTGGTGGTTGCCTGGAATGAGATACCACAGGAGGACATTGACCACCTGATCAGAAGCATGCCTAGGCGCGTTGGAGAATGCGTAGCACATCAGGGTGCATCCACACATTATTAAAGGTCAAAGGGCTTTAAAGCAGTGCAATCATTTTGAAATTTTTATCATTTACTTATTATGCTTCATTAAGTACTTATACAAAATTTTATTAAAATAAAACCATTTAAACTGGGTGTTCGGATTTATATGTCACTTAGTATACGTGTAATACCATACCAGACCAACAGAATACTCACCAAGGCTGGCGACACGCCGCCGAGAGCAGCAGCCCGTAGCTACTCGATCAGTCTGCTGATATTTTTCCACGTTTCAGGTGTCAGCATACGGAGAAATCTATGAATGTGATAGGTCAGTAGAATTACCAAGGTTCGGAGCGTATAAATGTTTTAACTTAAAAAAATTGAGATAAACCCTCCCATGCCCTACAACCCTCACCCCCAAGTCTTTTTACGTCTAATATGTTTTTCAAAAATGATCACGATCCTCTGAAACGTCAAAAAGCGAAGTGTGAACGATTTTTACTCTTTTGCGTTTTTGGGCTTTCTCTCCAACGCCTGTGGACAGAATTTAAAAACTTTTGTGGTCTTGGTGTTTAAAATTTTCATTGCAATCTGAGGGGTACTTCTCAAGTTATAGGCGGACAGATAGACCAGAAGAGGGTGACTGTTCAATACATATACAGGGTGACTTTGAAGTTGAGTCATTAATTTTCAGATAATGATTGTAGAAGGAAGATAAACCAGAATATGTGTGTAAAAATAAAAAAAAAATTAAAAAAAAATTTTTACCTTGTTTTATAAAGTATCCTCCCGACAAGTATTTCAGTGCGGACCTGTATTTGATCGTGAGGTCCCCTGTGAGGTCTTAAGTCACCTGATTCACGAGCCCGTTGTACTACATTAACAAAGGCACGAGGGGTTGGTTGCACTCGATTGGGAAACCGATCCGCATAAACATGTGCCATTTTTTATTTCGTTTGAGCCACGCAACAGACACTATTCACACGCTAACCGACAGACACTGAGTGTATGTATAACTGAACTGAATAAAATACTTAATTGCAAAAACTTCCAAATTCTTTCGCTTTTTTGTTTCCGATGCGATGAACTGGTAAGGCGGATTATATCCGTTGTTGCCAAACACGAGTACATGATATTATTATTGAGACAGGGCGGTACTCAAACTTCCAAAGGGCTATAACTTTGTTACTTTAATTTTACCAGAAAAATGGTAAAGGAAAAAAATATTTCTTTTGATCAGATCTACTCACTGTTAAAATAAATGACTCAACTTCGAAGTCGCCCTGTATATAACTTGAGACGTGGGCATTGTCGTCACCAGTTAGGTGAAAAATTAAAGCTCCGCCTTTTGTTGGGTACTTCGACAAGAATTTTAACAAAGAGGACTCTTTATACTTTATTAATCTCTCTAGCTTTAAATGATCTTTGCCATCATCATCAGGAGCTGTAATAACATTGAGAAGAATAGCAACAATTGTGCAAAATGAATGTTAAGTTAACTTACAATAGTATGTGAGGATGTTGCCCACGATGTAATTTTTAACTTTTGTTTTAAATAATTTTAATCAGTTTTACATACAGCTGGGTGTAGTTTGTATCAATGTTGACGTTTTTACCATGTATCCAGCTTTCACCTGGTTACTGGGTGTTTCCCTCAACCTAAACGTGACTAACGTTTAGCAACATCCTCACATACTACTGTAAGTTAACTTAACATCCATTTTGCACAATTGTTGCTATTCTTCTCAATGTTATTGCAGCTCCTGATGATTATGGCAAAGACCATTGAAAGCTAGAGAGATTAATAAAATATAAAGAGGCCTCTTTGCTAAAATTTTTGACGAAGTACCTAACAAAAGGCGGAAGCTATATATATATATAATCAGGGCTGTCCAACTTAATGTGGCCCAAGAGCCACTTCAAAAAAAAATGCAGTTCGGAGGGCCGCATTATGAAATCTTTCTATACAACATTATTACAGAGTTAATGTAAGAATTGTGCATATTTGGTATTTGAGAGTAATTTATACATGTGATGTATACATGACCCGTGAAGCGGGCCACAAGAAAGTAGTTCGCGGGCTGTAGGTTGGACAGCCCTGATATATATTATGCCATTTAACATCCTAAGTAGTATCTCATTTTCGAAAATTTTCGCGATTACAACACTTCTCCGCCAGTAGGCGCGGGAAGTCAAAAGATGTTGACAACTCTTTTCTTATTTGAATGTT